GAGAAGCGGCCGGCCGAGTGGAAGGCCAGAACGAAAGGGGCCCACAAACACACAAATAAATAGACACAAATAACCGGATTCCCCATATTTTCCCATCATATCTCCTGGATTTTCGTCTTCCCCCCCACTTCCCATAGTTTCCCATCTTTTCCTGGGGATCGACGATGAACTGTGTCTGTGTGTTGTTTCTTCCCTCCTGAAGATCAGGGAGGCACCGCTCTTCCTGCGAATGGCGCTCGGGATCGCCGGGAGGCCGCTTGGACAGCGGCCTCGTGGAAACTGGCAGAGGTGCGCAAGATGCGGTGCAACCCCCGCGCGAGGCGGAGCGTGCTGGGCCAGTGCGCCCCACGGCCAGCAGGGACCCAGTGGGAACTCCTCCTCCTCCTCCTCCTCCTCCTCCTCATCCTCCTCCACCTCCTCCTCCTCCTCCTCCTCCACCTCCTCCTCCTCCTCCTCCTCCTCCACCGACGCTGGAGTATACCGAGGACCTGGAGCGGAGGCATTCGAAGGCCACGGCCACACGACGGTTTTCGGAAGCCCGAGAGACCAAGAGGGCAAGCTCCAGAAGATCTCGAAGAAGGCGATCTGCCGGGTCATAAACAAGAACATGAGGCAAACGACGGATGAAAGGGACATCGCGATGGCCATGTACGGTTCTTCGAATACCGGACCAGGAGGAGAGACCTGGGATACGATGGCAAGACGAATACACGCGAACCTGGGGCAAGAATACACGCGAAACTGGGGCACGCCGACCTCACGAGGACCACCTTTGTCCTCAAGATGGCAAAGGCGAAGCCGGAGCTGCTCGAGGCGATGAAGAAGGTGATCGAGAAGTGCGACGTGTGCAATACGACCAAGCACCCACGCTCTACGCCCCCGCCGAGACTCTCCAACCCAGAGAGCTTCGAGCTCAACGCCGTCGTCGGCATGAAGCTGCTCTTCGTGGACACCACCTGGGACAACCAGGAAAAGCCGAAGAACGAGACGACTCCAGCTCTCAACTTCGTGGACAAGGGAACCAGACGGCAAGTGGTTATCAGGCTCCCAGATCGGGAGAGTCAGGCCATACGCCGTGCCTACCGACAACTCAGGATGCGGCCCTAACGGAGCAAGCAGATCATCGGCGACCAGGAGAGGGGCATCATCCGAGGCGTGTTCGCCGACTGAGCCTCGGCCGAAGGGACCGAACTAGAACATGTCGGTGCCGAGAACGAATACCAGAACGGCAAGACGGAGACTGCGGGCCAACTGTGGAAGCGAACGTACTACCAAATCCGCCTGACAGAGTCGATCTTGAGCGCCGAGGACCAGGAGCTCTTCGACGCGGTCAACTGCTCGGTGCACGAGCGCGGACCTGACCTACGAGTGTTCGACCACAGGATCCCCCTGCCCGAGGGCTCCTTCAAGGACGGGGAGGCGTGAGCCTGTAGACCGCGTCCCGACACGGTGCTGGAGATCAGGCCCTGGCGAAGGCGATCGGGCTCTGGCTGGCAGCAAGGGAAGCCTACGCCCGCGAGTCCATCCTTGACCGCCAAGACCGCGCCGAGAAGCTCCCATCATCGGGGCCACTGGGAGCCCACCGACAAGGTGTACTTCTTGCGACAGCAGGGTCCCAAGCGAGAGGCTTGGGAGCACTGGCGCGGCCCAGCGACGATCATCAGCACCGAAATCCTGGGCAAGGCCTACCTGTCCTACCAGGGCGGGGTCATCCTCTGCAACTGGAAGCACTTGCGAGCGGCTACCCAGGCTGAAGTCCAGGCCGACCGCTACTTGACAGAGGGTGGGGCGTCAGTGTCCCGAAGGGGCAGCAGGGCAAGCGCCGGGTGGCGGACATCTCGGACCAAACAGAGCCGCCCGACTCGGAACAGACCAGTGGCGAAGCTGCTCGGCCAAACGCAGAGCCATCGGCGGGAGATGCAGCAAACAGACGCGAAGTCCTGGACGTCCATCCGACATGCCAGACGTGTCGCCACCAGAAGGCGACGAGGAGGAGAACGAGGACCAGGACGCGGAGCACCCTGCCATCGGTCGAGCTCCGGAACCGGAGATATATAAGATCCGAAGCCTGCGAGACTGGGAGATCCTCGAGTTTGGTAAAGTACGGAAAAGCACAAGTACGCGTATAACACGAAGCACGCGTGGAAAATAAGTACGGGTCGACAGAACGAGCCAGACGAGATGAAACGCAAGTGCGAAATATGTGCAACGCGGAAGTATGGGTATGAACAAAAACGAAAAAATACGAACGCACATCAAAAGTAAAAAAGTATGAACGAATACGAACGCAACTCCGAAGTACGAAAAATGTGTGACCAAAGTATCTCACACACACACACACACACACTTTCCTCACGCTTCAGATTTCTGAAATCCTGTACTTCGTACTTCTGCACTGCACATGTCTCGTACTCGTACTTCGGCGTGGTATTTTTCCTCTTGCAAGTGGGATAATTTGCGTTCCTCTGGGGGAGTCCGGTGTAGCTGGCTGGAATCTCAT